CCCAGTAGGAGGTATGCAGGAGGCAGCCGATCAATGATTCTCTCTCATCATTGATGTTTCTATCTCTCTCTCCTTCTCTCTTCCTCTCTGAAATCAATAAAGAAATACATTTAAAAAAAAATAAACAGCACTGTGTTGCCCTAGCCAGTGTTGCTCAGTGGATAGAGCATCGGCCTGCAGACTGAAGGGTCCCAGGTTCAATTCTAGTCAAGGGCACATGCCCGGGTTGTGGGCTCGATCCCCAGTAGGGGGCGTGCAGGAGGCAGCCTATCCATGATTCTCATCATTGATGTTTCCATCTCTCCCTCTCCCTTTGTCTCTGAAATCAATAAAAATATATAAAAATAAAATAAAATAAACAGCACTGTGCAGTAGACACTGTTACCAACGCTGTTTCTGAGACCCGGAGAGCAAAGCTATTCAGCAGAGGTCACACAGCCAGGCAGCGATAGAGTCAGGATTCGAACTCAGGCAGACCAGCTCCAGGCCTGTGCCAACAAGCCACAGCCACTGGGGAGCCTGAGGAACAGGCCCAGGCTAGGGATGGCTTCGCCCTGCGCTGCGCCTCCTCACATGCCCAGGCGGCCTGCAGAGGGCAAGGCCAGAGGGAAGTACAAAGTCCAGAGGCACCGGCCCTCAGAGGCAGGGGCGGGTTCCAGGAGTGCTAGGCACCTATGAGGGCTGCGGACAGGCCTTGTCCTTCTTATTTAGCCCCTAGAAACAGCCACCCTGAGGCAGGGATTCTCAGAGACCCAGAGGCTCACCCAGCACAGCTGGCAGCGGGGAAGCCTTGATTCAGACCCAAGAGGACAAGCCCCAAGTCCGCGCCTGCTGTACCTTGCCTCTCCCCCTTCCAAAGGCAGCTCTGCTGCCCTCCCAGGGCTGCCCACATCGTTAACCCGCAGCGGAGCAAAGGCCTGACTCCATCTGAAGAAAATCCTCGCAGGGTACCTGGTAGGGCATGGCCTGAGCCTCAGGAAACGCCAGCCCAACCCACATTCCCACTACCCTTGGTGAGGGGTCAAACCTGGGAAATCCCACTCCCTCACACCTTTCCAGGCTCCATGTGACCTCGGTGCCCCCTCCTCCCTCCACCCCCCACCCCCCACTCAGAAGCTCTGCCAGCCTCAGCCCCTGCAGACCCGGAGACCAGGCTGACTCTCAGTGGCCCGGGAGAAGGACCTTCAGTGGCAGTCTAGCTACTGAAGGCAGAACCCAAGCGCAACCAGTTCCCCCACCCACTCCATGCCCGGGGCAAGGGCAAGCACCCCTCCCAGGCCTTGGTCAGGTACTGAACCAGCCGCCCCACCTGCCTCAGCCAGGCTCCCCCAAGGGCAGCGGGCAGGTTGCTTAAACCCCAAACATAGCAGTGAAGGTGACAGCAGCAAAGGGTGGGGCAGGAGGTGGACTGGAGGGCCAGGCTGGCAGACAGGACAGACCCATGGCCACAGTGACAGCAGCCCAGCTACTAGGGCCTGTCCACGGGTCAGAGATGGGCAGGATCAAGTGAGGTTCTCGAGGGCCTCCCAGCTCCATTCCCCTCCCCTACACCAAGGCTCCCCAGAAAGGAGAGGGCCATCTAGGAGACTGCCAGGGTCTGCCCACTTCCTGCCATGTGCTCCCTCTTTCCTCCCCCGACCTCCACCAAGACCCTCAGGGATGGAGAACAGAATATCCTTCCTCCTGCCCATAAGAACCACTGGCTCAGACCTTGCAGCTCTTCCCACCTGAAACTCCAGGATACAGGCTGACTGATATGCATACATTAACCTACCTACCTGCCGATCTCTAGGATACACATGCTCCAGCAGCCTCTGATATGAATGTGTCTGCAGCAATCGCCATGATCTCGCCTTGACGGTGCCCTTTCCTGTTACTTCCTGGACCTATAGCCAGACCAGCCTCCCCGTGACCAGCTGAGGCCTGGAAGGGGCGTGGCTAGGGAGCTGTCAGTGGCTTAGGGGGTGGGCAGCTGTCAGGGCTCAGGCAGGTGGCCACCTCTCAGCGGGTCACTCACTGCCCGACTGACTGTCAGAGCCTGAAACAGTCTCCCTTCCTCCCCACGTTCACAGAGAAGCTGGTCTGGCTCCCGCTGGGCTGAGCTGGGGAGGGAGAAAGAGGGGATGGGACACTCAAACAGCTCAGCCGACAGCCCATCCCTTCCTTCCCTGAACCACAATATGCAGGGCCCCACGCTGGCCACTGCTGGGGGCGGGGGGCGGGCAGCCTGGGAGCAGAAAGCTTGGATTCCTAGGCTCCCTTAGGACCGGATGGGGCCTCTCGTCCAGGCTCCCCTGACCCCCTCCACTGAGAGGGTCTGAGGGCAGGGCTCCTTAGTCCCCATAGTGCCCCCGTGCCCAGCAGAGTGGCACAATATTTGTTGGTTAGAAGCAAAAAAGTATGAGTGACCTGAGTGAGAGAAGTGCCTCAACTCCTGCCACCTCCTCTGCAGTCTCCTCTACGGCATCAGCAGCGTGGACCCTGTGGCCTCAGGTCCCACAGACAGCCATGAACTCTCAGAGGTCTGGGGTTCCCTGAAGCTTCTGGGATCTCTGCCAGCTCCCCGAGTAGGTGAGGACTAAGCATCCCTGACACATCCAGGTGTCAGGATGTGACCCAACTCTGAATGGGGATGCAGGTACCCTAGAGTGACCCAGGCCTGGGGGGGACAGGACCAGAGGGGCCACTCTGACCTATACGTTCATCCTCTGGCCTGGATCACCAGGACTCAGCCTAACCGCTCAGCACACCTCATTAGCATGAGTGTCTTTTCCACCCTTTTTTATTATTGCTGTGAAATATCTGTTGAGGGCCAGGGGCTGGGGTGAATGCCTCACCTATGCCACTTAATTTATCCCTTGCCAGCCTAACTATGAAGGCAGGTATTTTAACACTCCTCTGCAGATGAGGAAATGGAGACTCAGAGAGGTGATGAAAAGCCCAAGATCACACAGCAGGACAGTGAAGAGACGGAACCAGAATCCTGAAATGCTGGCCTCGAGGCTATCTACCCAGGCGATATTCCCAGGCCATGGTCCCCAAACTGGCACCCAAGTCAGGCTGCACCCACTAACCCTGGTGGCCCACAGGGTCTACCACGCTTCCAGGACAGCTGTATGGTGGGCTGTGGTGGAAGCAGTGGCTGGGTCAGGAGGCTATATGGAGAGTGCCACGTGCCAGGGTTCTATCTCTTTTCCCTGGACCAGCCTCCAGCACAGACCCCAGGTAACCTGCTGCCTCAGCCACGCCCCCTCCTGGAATGAGCCCCTCCAACCCGAGGCAAAGTGCTGCTTCGGGAACAGGTGGGAAGCCACAGGATGCGCCTCCCTCCCACCGAGGCCTTACAGAGGCCGACTGGGCCAGGTGTGGAAGGGGCAGGGACTTACACAAGAGACCGCTGCAGCGGTGGAGGCCGGGCACCCTGCCCAGGAGCTTTCCACGGGCCTGCCCCATCTCACTTGGGTCCCAGTGCTTTCGACTCCCACTTACTGCCATCACCCAGGTGTGTGACCTCAAAACCTTAATGTCTACTCACCCCTCAACCAGGTTATGTCACCCCTCACCAGAGCCCAGCCCAATATCCTCCATGGCCTCTCTGCCTCATCTCCTTCCTTCCTCCACCTGCCACCCAGTAGCTTCCTAAATCGCAGATGGCAAACTGTGCTGCACCTTTCCTTCCTCCCACTGCCTGGCCCATCAACCCTTCTGCCCCTTTCTCCACTCCCTGGCTGGGTCCTGCCACACTCCCCGGTCACCTGTGTCTGCAGGCCCTGGCTGCTGCGGTTCCCTTAGCCACGAGGCCCTTCCTGGCAGAGCAAAATCCCACTCGGGCAGAAGGCCCAGCTGAAATCTAGCACCTCTCTGAGCCTCCCTGGCAGACGTGAGGCACCCTCCTCCAAACCCACAGCTCTAAGCTCTGTGGGCACCGAGCACCGTGCCTTGTTGGAGATTCATTTGTGTGAACCTGTCTCGCCAACCGCATGAAGCTTCCTGAGGGCGGGGCCACATCTGCTCATCTCCAGGGTGCGGGTGTAGAGCAGAAGCAGGCACAGAGAGAGCCAGCACACCCTTGTTTTGACTGAATGCCCCAGTGAGGCCTGGTCAGGAGACAATGGGTAGGCTGTGGGCCTTGCCCACGTGAGCTCTCCAGGCAAGGAAACCAGAGCCGGGGATTCCAAATGCCTGGTTTGCCGAGGCTCAGAGCTGGAGGCTGAAGAGCCCTTCGCAGGGGTGCCAGCCCATGCAGCTGTGGCACCGCCCCTGCATTGCAGGAGGCCACATTGGTGAGCCCTGACTCACCGCAGGCTGTACGTACAGCTGGACGCCCACAGGGTGCCAGTGATGCCGGCTTAGTCTCTGACCCCAGCATCTTAGACATTCTGGGCAGCTCACTTGGCTCCACTTGCCCCCAAGGCCCTCTCCAAACCAGGCAGCTTGACATCCAAAGCGATGCCTTATAAACAGGTCAGGGGTCGCCAGAATGACGCAGGGTGGGGGGTGGGATTCCAAGTCCCAGGCCCAGAGCCTACCCCCTCAGGCCTTGAGAACCTGCCGCCACAGCAGGAGAGCTGAAAAAGGGAAGGCACAGAAATACCACAAAATGACCCCAAACCGAGGGCAGGATCTGAAAGGCCTGGCCTTAGAGCACTGGCCGCACATGGGGGTGAAAGAAGGAGGGACAACAAGAGGAGGAGGCAGCGGACGAAAGCCTGGCTAGGGCCTCCTAGTGGGATGTCCCCTGCACTCCGAGGCCCATAGGTAGCCATGAGCCAGGGGAACGGGACCTGGGCAAGAGGAAACCAGCACACACTCCTAGGAGGGAACAGAAGTCCAGGTTAAATCTGGAGGGAGCTTTGAGCTCAGAGAGGAGGGGTTTGCAAGGCCAACTCAAAGATTTTCCCACCACTTCCTTAGACACTAAAATGCCCCTCCCCCAACAAGCCCTGCCCCATGCCCGTCCACGGGGCAGAAGTCCAGTCGGGGCCCAGAAGGCTCCTTACCATGTGCGGGTTGTCATAGTAGACGGCGATGGAGCGGAGCCTGGGGCAGACACTGCAGCTCTCCGTGAAAAGCCGGCCTGTCTCGCTGTAGGGCCCCACGTGGAACTTGTAGGCCACGGTGACATTGCGGAAGGGGGGTGAGCCGGCACTCACCGCCACCCCAGCCAGCAGCCCTGAGTACCTGGCGAAGGCCAGCAGAGTCAGCAGCAGCAGCAGCGCCAGGCCCCCGATGAGGCCCAGCAGTAGCAGGTCCGACATGGCTCTGTGCTCCCGACGCCGCACCCCAAGGCAGCTGCAAAGGAGACAGGAGAGAGAGGCTGGTAGCCTGCTCTGACCAGAGTGCCCACCTGCCCGCCAGCCGGTTCTGGCCCAACCCCAGCCCTGCCTTGGGTGCTCTGACCCAGGAGGAGGAGTGGCCAGAGGTGTTTACACATGGAGTGACCTAGAAGGGAGCTACAAAGGATGACTGAAGCCACAAGCCTCCTTATTTCTTAACCACAATCACTGAGGCTCTGGGGGCTGCTGTGCCTGTCAGCTGGCAGCCTTGGTCATACTGGGGAGACTGAGTCATAGAGGGCCCAAGAGTGAGTCAGCCAGGGACATACTCCCAGCCCTGACCAGCCCCGTCTGAGATGGACCAGACCTCAGCCAGCCTGCCCTTCCCCCACATGGCCTCTTCCTCCCCCCAGCTAGGCCACACTACCTGCCCAGCCTCCCCAAGCCTCATGGACCGCAGCCAGAGAGGACAAGCAAGTGCCAGGGGCCAAACACTTATTAACAAACAAGGAAACCACGAGGAACAAACAGGAGGGGGGGGGGGGGATTTGCCACAGAAAGAGACTCTCCTAGGAAATTCTCCTCTGCTAAGCACATCTGGCCTGAGGAATCTTGCTATCCAGCAAGCTCACCCATCCAGAACCAGAGGACACCAGATCAAAACAACCAAAATCCAGGCTACGCTTCCCAGGCTTGAGCCACCAGTGCTTACAAGCTTCAGCCCACTTTTTCAGCCCATAGATTAGAAACCGCCAGGAGGAGGAGGAGGAAAAGGCTGCTGGAAGTGGAGACACACAACAGGGAGAAGCAACAGTTACTCATCCCTGGCCTGAGCGGTTCATCCCATGGAGGAGGAGTGCTGGCCTGGGGGGGGGGGGGGGGGAGGGGGCGGACCACACCTGGGGTCCCTGTCCCTTCCCACCCCAACATCTCCAAGTGTTTAGAATTTAATTTTTATGGTTCTGATCTCCCGTACCAGGTAGTTCCTAGAAAGGCATCTTGGGAGGGTGTGTGTGGCCGCCTCTTTTTTCCTTTTTGTGTGTCTGTCATTTATCTGACAATTCTCCCTCCTCCCCACTGGCCTCCCCCATTCCTCCTATTCCTATAATACAAACAATAAAGACATTCATTTCAGGGGGGGAAACACACAGGAGAAGCAAACTATCCAGGAACAGGCCCAGGGGCACCACAGAAGCTGGTGTGTGAGTCCTTCAAGGCAGACGGCCCAGCCCGCCACCCCTGGGGGGGTGGGGGGGCAGAGGTCTAACCCGAATGTTTGAACTGAGTGGCCTGGGTGGGGGTGGGAGGGGAATCACAGCACAGAGAAGACTGTTTAAAGAGGAAGGGAAGCATGTGACCCCAAATATTTAAAATTTAAAAGTTTTGGGCACGCTGAACGTCAACACTTGAACCCAATGGGAAACCTAGCTCTATGGAATAACTGGTTCCCTGTGGTTCTGTGCCAAAACCTTCGGCTGAAATACTGTCTTTGGAGTCAACATGCACACAGAACGTCGAAGCCCCTGGTGTCGTGACGCCGAGGTGTCTCCCACTGGGGTTCGCACCCACGGGGTCCTGCCCCCACAGCCGCGCCATCCTTTGGACGCAATTCCCTGTCCTGCTCAACTGGCCCCGGGTCAGTTTTGCTCCTCCGTTTTCTTTGATGGTGCTGGTGATGATGATGATGATGGATCGCCCACGAAGTACTTAACTAGATGCCAGGCATTGTCTACGTGTCAAAACGAGGCTGCTTCCTTAATCCTCGGAACAAGGCAGGGCCGGCTTAGGACGTCAGTGGTTAGAGAGGAAGACACTTGCCCGAGGCCACACAGGTGCCAAACAGACCGGGACCACAATGCAGGCGGAGGGCGGGCGCCCGCAGCCTCATGCCTCCTTTCCCACTTTCCCTGTCCTCCCTGGTGGCAGGCTTTCCGAAAGGCCCACGCGTTTCACCCACACTGGGCATCTCGGAGGCCCCGGCTCTGGGCTGGGCGCTGTGTCCCCTTGCCCAGCTGCCTTGGGAGTGACCAGCCCCCTGTCCGACCTCCCCTCTGGGCTGCACACTCCCTGTCCCCTCCAGGAACGTAGTTTGCACCTTTCTCTTCCTCTCGCGCCCTGAAGGCTCAGAAAAGGGGGGACACGAGCCCGAGGGCCCAGAGCTGCCATCAGCCCGGGAAGGGCAGGCGGGGGAGCAAGAGACCGAGCAGGGGGGCGGTGGGGGACGGGGGGCTCACCGGGAAAGCCAGGCTCCCTTTCAGCGACTCATGGCATTCAGCGCGGCTGGGACCCGGCGCTCCGTGCTGGGGGCAGAGAGGGGAGAGGCGCTGAGCCGCAAAGCCAAGCCCACGGGCGCCCCCAGCAGAACCGCGCCCCTCGTCACAGGGCTGCGGCCTCGCCACCACGTCCCCTTCGGGAAATCGGAAGCCAGGCTCGGCCTCACCAAGTCCACGGCCCCAGGGCCCCGCGCCCGGCCCCGGAACAGCTCCTGCCGCGGAAACCTGGGCAGGCTGGGCCCCGCCCGAGCCTCTGGGGGGGTCGCCTCCCCGGTGCCGGGGTGCCAGGCGGCGGTGCCGCGCCGGCTTCCTGGAGCCGCTCACGTGCGGCGCGCTGGCCCGTGAAGGGCCCCGTCGTGGGCGCGGCGGGCCGGGCTGCGAGGGCCTCCGGCTCCTGGCGCCCCCTCTGCCCCGCCCCTTTCTCCTCGGCCTCGACCGCAGGGGACCCCAGGCACCCCCGCAACTTCAGGGGCGCTGAAGTTGGCAGCCCAGGCGGCGGGCTCGGGGGACGGGGCGGAGTTAAAGTGCGGCTCCTGCCTCCGTCCCCCACCCACCCCTCCGCTCCGCTGCCTCGGGACCGGCCCGCACCGGAGCCGAGACCGGGGCGGCCGGGGGCGCAGGGCTGGCCCAAGGTCGCGTTCGGGCCCTCGGACCCGGCCGGGGCCAGGGGTCAGGGAGTCGAGGTGCAAAGAGCGGCCTGGGCCGCGGGGGTCACGGAGGGGGCCGCGCCCGGGCAGACGGAGGTCCCAGGCCCCCGGCGCGCGGGAGGCGGCCCGGCGGGAACGCGCTCCCCCGGCCCGGCCTCACCTCAGCGGCCACCCGCCGCGGACGCCGACGCGCAGGGCGGCTCCGGGTTCGGTCGCGGAGCTTGCGCGCGCCCGCCTCACACGCTCGCTCCGCCTTCTTCTCGCGGCGGGACGTGGCCGTGTCGTGGGCCGCGTGCGCCGGGGCTGGAGGGCGGCGGCCTGCCCCTCCGCGTCTCCACGGCAAC